CTCTGCCCACTGCACCACCTAGTGGCCTCTAGAACCAGCAGGATTTCCATTGCAGTGGGTGGATGGATGGATTTGCCCAGAGTCACAGAGCCTGACTCATCAGACCAGAGGGACTCTACCCAAGTACTCCCGCCTTCAAGGCAACAACACTAAGCTGCTTGGGATGTCTTGGAATGGAGAGTATGTGAAGAAGAGGAGCACGCGGCCTAATCAAACAAGCAGCATTTATTAAGTGCCTACTGTGTGCTGGGTGCTAGGGAGTTAAACGAAGACCAGGGGGGTAAGACTGAAGAGGCAGATTGGAGTGGAATTGTGGATGACCTTAGGTGGGCAAGGTCAGGATTTTATCTTTCATCCCCAAAGCAATGGGGAGCCAGTGTTGAGGCCAAAGGAAGAAGGAAAGTGTGCCTGGACATGTATCATGCCAGTTGGCTGCTTCCCAACATCTAGGGGCCCGCTCCCTGGGATGGAGAAGACAGCATTTGGGCTGTTAACCCCGCAGAGGAATGGCCCTAGGCACAGGAGGTGATGATATAGTAGAGAAGTGCCCTAGGTGTCAAGAGCCTGGGACTGGAGTCCTAGCATTGGCATTAACTTGCTCTGTGACCCTGAGCAAGTCTCTTGCCCCCCCATGCCTCAGTTTCCCCCTCTGTCCAGTGATAAAGGAGGTAGAACAAAGTGATCTCTTCCTGCTGAGACATCCTAGGATTCTTTCAAAACTCAAGACACCCGATGGCTTTGACCACATGATGTCACTCCAGCAGCCAGAGCAAAAACGTAATGCTCATTTTCTCAGCTTCTTCCTCTCCTTGGACTATGGTGACTGCTTCTCAACTGGCCTCTGTCTCCTTCCTCTGCACCCCTTTCAGCCGGTGTCCTTGGCAAAAGAAAGTTGCTGAGGAATGTTTCAGGGAAATTCTCAGAAGTCTCCATCCCTCATTACCTGCAGGATAAAGTCCAGATTCCTCAGGCAGAAGTTCCCTCTTCCCCAGCCCTGGCCCATCCACCTTCCCAGGCTCGTCTCCTGTCCCCCATTGCTATGGCCCTCTTCCCTGGCAAACAGTTCTGTGACGTAGGCGAGGCAAATACTACATATAATGGGTGGGAGCTGCAGAAGGGCAGACTGAGTTTTGGTGCAAGGAAGGACTTGCCACCACTTAGAGCCACTCTAGGGTGAAATATCAGCTGTCTGGGAAACCTCAGTCTCTATTATTATTATAATAATAGCTAGCATTTAAATGGTACTTTAAGGTATTTATTAAGTATATGACTAATAATATAAGCCTTAAATGTATGTACAAATCAAATGCACATATATGTAAATTTTGTATATATGAATATATAGATAATATTATTTTACACACATGTGATCACATCTATACATGTGATCACATAAACATTGATGTGATTACATACACACACACACACACATATATATATATATATATATATACATAAAGATAGATGGATGAATGGCTATAATTAGTGTGTGATTCACATGATCCTCACAACAGCTCTGTGAGGTAGGTACTATTGTTATCACGTTTCTGTTATTCAGTCATTTTTCAGTCATGTCCAACTCTCTGTGACCCCATTTGGGGTTTTCTTGGCAGAGATACTGCAAGGGTTTCCTTTTCCAGCTCATTTTACAGAGGAGGAAACTGAGGCAATCAGGGTGAAGTGACTTGCCCAGGGTCACACAGCTCTAAGAGTCTGAGGCCAGGTTTGAATTCAGGTCTTCCTGAGTCTCCACTCTCCCGTCTCCTCCGGTTTGAAGTCTCAAGTAGAGGTTGGACAATCGCTTGGTGGGTACATGATGGGTGCAGGATAGACTTTTTCAGTCCCTTCTCTGTGGTGTCATTAGCATCCCATTTTATGGAAACTTGAGAGATGTGAAGGAACTTACCCAGGATGATACTACTGTGAGAGTAAGCATCAGAGGGAAGGCTAGACCCCCTCTTTGGATCCCAGGTCAGCACTCTTGCCACTATAGCCCATGGCCTCTCAGTGTATTATCTCCCCCTCCCCTCCAACTTTTCCTCCAACAAACTGGTTGACTCCTTATTCTGGTCTCTCACTCATTCCACAGTCCTGGATTCTAATCTCAATTCTATCACTTAGGACCTGTATGACCTTGAGCAAGGCATTTCTCCCTCCCAGTGCCTCAGTTTCCTCATCTGTAAAATGATGACCCTCCCAGCTCTACTGGAGAGCTACGATCTTTGCCCTACCCTTCTGCCTCCTGGGATGTCTTCCCACACTCTCCTGAAGATCTCCGTCCTATCCACCCAGGTCAAGGGAGCCTTCCACACCCTCCAGGAAGGCTTCCATAGCTGCTGATGCTCAGGAATCTCTGCCTCCTAAGCTCCTCCTATAAGGTCTTAGACTACCCACTATTGTTAGTTACTTAGGTCAGACAGTCCATCAATAAGCATTTGTTAAGCATCTATTATGTGCCAGGTGTTGTGCTAAGCACCATTTCCCCTACTTGACCGAAAGCCTCCTGAAGGCAGGGACTGTATCTTAGTATCCCCCAGTGCCTGCACAGCCAGCATTTAGTAACTTGATTCAATTCAGCAAATATCAGTTGAGCACCCACTATGAAAAGTGAGCTGTTATGTATTTGATGATTGACTGACAAGATTCATCCTCTTGTATTGTCTTAGCTGTCCTCTGGGGCATCATGGTAAATGGATGATAGGGGATGGAAAGAAAGAAGAGACTTTGCCTTTAAATGGGGGATGAGGAGGGGTATATCGTGGTTGACCTCTTCCCAGAGCCCTAGGCCAGTGGGATAGGCCAGTACCAGCCTCCACCTGGCATCCTGTACCTTTAGTTATATAATTCTGATGGTACTGGACCCTGACTTCCCTCTCTCCCAGGGGAGGCAGGCACAGCAGACTTATCAAGCAAGAATGTGCTTATCAGGGGTTGGCAGCAGCCTCGCACCCCTCCCGCGTCCTGGCGGCTTCCCTTGTGCAGGCTGACAATATTCCACTTGTCAGAGATTAGCACCAGCTTTTCCCAGGCCAGATAAGCCAGCAGTGGACATGGGAGTGCTCAAAGGGTGGGGAGAGGGAGAAGAGTTCATTCCAAGCTGCTTTGAGGCCTTCCCTAGAGTCCATGGGCTCTTCGAATCCTCAGTTTCATCCATGAGAGCATTCCCAGGCAGATCACCACCCATTCAAGCCTGCTCCTCTTGTGTGACTCCTAGCCTTGCCTTCCAAGGAGTTCAATACAAGGAGCCCACATATGCTGGGGGCCTTCTTTGATTTCTTCAAGGAGCACATCCATCGTGTACCCCTCATTCATCATCTTTCTCACTCATACATTTCTTTGTCTTTTAACCAGTGCTTCCTTGTTTTAAAAATGAGGATATGACGGATGGATGAAGTCCATCCTCACTCTGTGGAAGAGAAAAGAAGAGAGAAGGAGAGGGAAAGGAAGGAAGGAAGAAAAGTTAAGGGAGGGATGGAGGAAAGGGAAGAAAGGAAGGAAGAAAGAAACCCTTAGAATCAACCTTAGAAACCATTCCCTTGGTTGAATGTAAGATCTTTGAGGGCAGGGACCCTCATTTTTACCTTTGAATCCTCATTGCCTTTGTCTTATGGTAGTAGGACTTTGATAAAGGCTTGATGATTGAGTTAAGCCCTGATTATTAGGACCTCACAGTGTTAGGAAGGAAAGAAGGATTTGTTAAGTGTCAAATTACTTTGTATCAAAATTACTTTACAAACATGAATGCATTTGATCTCCGTAACAGTCCTGGGAGGCAGGTGCCTGTTATTTCCCCCCATTTTATAGCTTTATAATTGTTTTATGGTTTTATGCTAGATGGAACAGCGGATAGAGCTCCCAGAGTCAGAAAGACTCACCTTTCTTGATCTGACCTCAAATACTTACTAGCTGTGTGACCCCAGGCGAGTCACTTAACTGTTTGCCTCATCTGTATACATGAACTGGAGAAGGAAATGGCAAACCATTCCAGTATCTGTGTCCAGAAAATCCAAAATGGGGTCACAAAGAGTCAAGACGTGATCGAAAAACAACAGTTGAAGAAACTGAGACAGAAGTTTAGGGACTTCCCCAGGGTCACTGAGGCTGGATTTGAACCCAGGTCTTCCTGACTTTAGGCTCGGCACTCTATTCATTGAGCTTCCTCACTGTGATAGGTTCTGGAAATACAAATACGGGAAAGCAAGGCAGTCTTAGCCTTGAAAGAGCTTACGGCCTAATGGGAAAGGGCAATATGAAAGGCTTAGAAATAGCTAGAACATGACACAGAGGCCTAGTTCTAGGCTCCAGCCATTTGAAAGCTCATCTTAACCCCAATTGCCCAAAAAAAAAAAAGATAAGTAATTGGTTTGTGGGGTGGGGAGGTAAGAGCAGCTGAGGGGCTCAGGAAAGGTTTCATATGGGAGGTGATATTTGAACAAAACTAATACATGCCTGAGGGGCAGCTAGGTAGTGCAGTGGATAGAGCGCTGGACCTGGAGTCAGGAAGATCTGTGTTCGAATATGGCCTTAGGCACGAGTTGTGTGACCCTAGGCAAGTCACCTAAGTTCTGTCTGCCTCAGTTTCCTTAACTGTAAAATGGGGGTCATAACAGCACCTACCTCCCAGGTTTGAGGTGAGGATCGAATAAGATAATATTTGTAAAGTGCTCAGCACACATAGTAGGAGCTGTATAAGTGTTAGCTATTATTTCTGTCACTCTTAGTAGTGTCTAACCACACTCCAAATCAGAGGGAAGAAGCTGGGGGACGACGAAGGTACACGGGAAGGTGGAGCAAGAGTCCAGATAGCTTAGCTTCCTTTCCCACATTCTTTCGTCCAGCTAGGTGCTGGCTTCTTGGCCAGTGAGAGGCAGTGTAGCCTAGTGGGGAGAACAGGCACCGGAAAGATGAAGAGCAGGCCAGTGTCGTCTTTGCTTTTCTGTCTGTGGAACGGGTTCCTCCACACCTAGGTTAGGTAACCCAGTGACTGCTCCCTCTTCCAGATCTCTCGCTCCCGCCTTGGGAATGATGGAAGCCCAGGAGAGCAGCGTCCAGTACAACAGATGGAGCAACAGCCAGGACGAGGTCAGCATGAATATGTCGGCCTCGGGAGGCTTGGACTGTGAGCGGTAAGGAACCCCAGGACTCCACTGGGGGGCAGGGGGGGAAGGGGAGGCCTCGGCCAAGTTCTTTAAAGCTCCCAACCTGGCTCCAGACTCCAAGATGGCTCCCACCTGGCAAAAACAAACAGCTGGACCGTCCATGACTCCACATTGGCCAGCACCCCCCGTGTGCCAAGAATTGTGTTGCCAGCTTCTTTCAAGACCCAGCTCAAGTCCCACCTTTTGCAGGAAGCCTTCCTTGGTCCCCCAGCTGCTCGTACTGGTCTTCTGAGATTATGATATAATTATTTACATGTTATCCCTTCCAGTCTAATGTACAGTCCTTGAGGGTGGGGACTTCTGTGTTTTGGCCTTTCCTTGTATCCTAGTGCTTAGCACAGTGCCTGGCACATAGTAGGTGCTTAATAAATGCTTATTTACTGACACGGTCCCTCCTGTGTTCAGGAACTTGCAATAGCTCCCAATGGACCGTGTCTCAGCTTGGCATTCAATGCTCTTCATAATCCCACTCTCCCCTGCCCCCCAGCCAGCTCTGTCTTCTTTTCAGCCAGCCTAGTTCCCTCTCTACCATGTCCCTTCTTCATTCATGGTCTTTGCCTTCCTAAAATGTCCTTCCTTTCCCTAGCCTTGCCTCTCATCTAAACCCTGACCATCCTTCCAAGTTCCGTCTCCATGCCTCCTTCTCCCTTCTCTGATTTCTCTAGGACTCAGTCTCTAGCACACATCACAGGCCTTACTCATAGGCAGCTTTGCATGGAGCTTAGAGGCTTAGTGAGTGTCCCGTCCTGTCTCCCCCATCCTAGGCAGGAAGCAAGCAAGCTCCTGGAGGGCAGGGAATCCTACCTTGTACTAGGTCTTCTTCATTTCCCCAATGCCTAGCAGAGTAAGCACTCATTAGAAACTGAGGCCTGGAGAGGGGCTGCCTCTTGCCAGCCCCTTCTCATTATCTCTGGGTATGGCTTCTGCCCCCAGTGCCTTCTCCCCTGAATCTGCAAAGAATATCTTTGTTCCACTCTGGCAGGGTCCAGTCCAGTCCAAATCGCTATTATGAGCCACTGTGGGGATCGATTCCCATCTGTACCTCTCTGACTCAGTTGCCCTCTTTGGGGGCTTGTCTCCTCATACCAGGATCTGCACCAAACTATGCACTGGGAAGCTGGGCATCGCCATGAAGGTGGCAGGCGGAATCGTTCTGTTCTGGGTCATCTTCATCATTGGCTACGTCACCGGCTACTACATCCACAAGTGCAAATAGCACTTCTCTGAGCCTATCGGATACCTTTTTGAGGAGCCCTCCACCTACCCAGAGACCTCTTACTTCCTGGCTCAGACCACCATGTCAGGCTGGCCCCTGGGGGCACATGCACCCATAGATATAGACACACATACACATAGGGACAGATACGGACACATACTGAATCTCTCTTCAGAGAAAGAGAGAGTGACAGACACATACAGGCACATGCTGAAACAGACACTGGATAGGAGGCAGACAGACAGAGAACACACACACAAATCTTTCTTCTCCCCTGTCCCAGGATAGGACCGCAGACCACGCCATCCACATCCTATCCTTCCCCTGCCACATTCTACCACCAGGGAGAAGCACCACACAGTTACTGAAGCCCAGGACTGCATCTCCCACTCATCTCCTCCTTTGTCACCTCTGTGTGCCTCCTCACTGACCCAGACGACCTCTCCTTTGGACCTGTGGCTGCCCTTGACAGCTAGCGGTCCAAGAAAGATGAGGGAGACCGGGGCACAGTTGTACCTGTCAGAAGCCTTTCTGCAGTGCTGGTTTATGTTCAGAACTGTAGTCAGATGCAGTGTTCCTATGCAGGATCTACCCACCCTGCCCCATCCTTTGCAAGAGCAAGACCTAGACAGGAAGGAAACCATCCAGTCAGGGAATGCTCTACAGGGAACTCATCACCGAAGCAGGACTGAGAATGAGAATCAAGGCCACTTCTAGGGTTCAGTTTCTGCCCATCCCTGGTGGGGGTAAAATCTGCTTCCCATTTGCTGTGACCTCTCCCCCCATCCCTGCCCTGCCTCTCGCCACCAACTCTACTCTTGAGAAACTAGACACAGTGTGAACCTGGTTTCAACATAAATTTATTGAGGAAGGGAAAGGCAGTGGCCCACTTATCTCCAGCAAAAAAAAAAATATTGAAGGGAGGTAGCATCATGTATGGGAAAGAGGTATGTGGTTCAAATCCTGACTCCTCCATTTATGTGTGAGCATGGGAATGTTGGGAAAGTCACTTATTTCTGGGCCTCAGTTTCCTCAACTGTAAGATGAGACTATATGGCTTTGAAGGTCCCTTCTCTAAATACATGCTTTTGTGGCAATGATTCAGCAGGGAAGCCCAGTAAAGCCCAAAATTTCCCGTGTCTCTGGCAGTCGGCAGGGAAATTCGTAGCCTTACCTCCTAGCCTCTGTTGTCGAAGATCCTAGGCTCATTGGCCCACAGCTGTGTCACTGGCCCCCTTCAGTGTGTATATGTGTGTTGAGGGGCGGGTCTCGGCCTTTCCGCTCTGGAGCCTTGTAAGAGGTATCCCCTATAAAGATTCCTTTGCCCCCTCTCCTGGATTTGCCCTCAATTGCTGCATTAAAGTCCCAGGGAATTCTGTCCCCTGGCCTCCCCTGAAGGAAGAAAACCCCAGTGAATCTGAATTGGGGGCCTTCTATTTCTGATGGCCCCTAGTCACAGGTGCCAGCTATAAAGACTCTGGAAGCCCAAGAGAAAGCCCCCATCCTGATCCAAGAGGCAGAGGCTGAGCCACGGAGGACTGGGGTATTCTGGGGGTTGAGTCCCAGCCTCCATACCCCATCCCCTTCTTGTGCCCTTCCAGAGAGGCAGAATAATGGAAAAGAAGGGGGAAAAAACGCCCTAGACATGGTTCCCTCTCTGAGTCTCAGCTTTTTCCTCCTAAAAAGGACAAGATGCTTCCCAGGGAAGAACTATCCAGCCTGGCACAGGTGGCTATGATGGGGTGACTGTTGGGCAAAGTTGGCTCGCCTGGAATGCGGCTGCCAGGGAGCTGCCGTGGAAGCAGGCAGGGGTACCCTCAGCCAATACTGCTGCTGGTGTCCCCTAAGCTAGGCTCAGGAAGGGGAGGAAGTAGTCCCAGGGATGGGGCTGCTGGGTCCCCTTCATTTCCCAGTCCGGAGCAGGGGAGCCCCTCCTCAGACACTATGGCTCGTCCCTATTAGTTTGGGTGTTCTCCACGTCTGTAGTGGCAGCTTTGTTCCCTTCCCCCTCTCTTTATCCCAAGTGGTCCCTCCTTGGACCTGGGCTTACCAGAAGCAGTTAATATAAAAAGCTTTCATGGAAATCTTGACAACCTGGGGCTATAACCCAGGCTCTGTCACTAACTTAACCTTGGACACATCTCATTTAACTTTTTTGGAGGCTTAATTTCTTCATCTGTAATATGGAGGGGGGGAAGGGGGTCTCTACCTTACAGGGCTGTTGTGAGGATGAAGTATGAAAATGGAGGTGAAAGGGGCAGCTGGGTGGCACAGTGGATAGAGCACTGGCCCTGGAGTCAGGAGGACCTGAGTTCAAATCTAGCCTCAGATACATAACACTAGCTGCGTGACCCTGGGCAAGTCACAACCCTATTGCCTAGCCAAAAAAAAGAAAGTGGAGGTGAAAGAGCCTTGGAAAGGACAAAGGGCTCTGGCTTTCTAAGTGGGGTGATGTTCACCTTTCATTTTCAAAGAGGACTGTTGACATCGGGGTGATGTCTTAGGCTCAGGAGTGAATTGGAGATTCTGCTGATGGACTTCGGTGGGATCTTGGGGACCTTACACCCCACCCCAAAATGAGCAACCAGTTTGACTCCAGGTCCCAGAGGAAGTTTTAATGATGGTTCTTTCTCTGCTCTTTGTCAGGGAAGGGGTAAGATCAATCCACACCATGCGGGATACAAATACAAACATTAGCTCAGCTGCCTTCAAGAAGCTTACATTCTCCTGGGGGAGGAGGGGAAGGAGGATGATAGAGTGGAAAGAGCCTGGGTGGGAATTCCAGGTCCATCTCTTAGCACCTGTGTGACCTTGAACAGCTTACTCCCCTTCTCTGCTCAGTTTCCTCATCTGTAAACCTTGAAGGGGATGGATTAAATGATCTCTTCTAGCTTTAAGCCCGTGAACTCCTCCTCTCTGGCTCTGTTCCCCAGGAATGTGCCTCCAGTCCTCCCCTCTATGCCCAACTGGGCTCAGAAGCAAAACAAAGGACTTCCAGCGGCCAGAGGACAGGGCGTGTCTGGGCCCGGAGCCCAGGACACAGAGGCCTCTGTGGTCAGAGCAGCTGGCCCTGCAGGGAGAGAAGAGCTCCAGCTCTGGCCTTGGCATCCTGTCCTAGGCCTCCCACTCGTTCAGAATGCTAGCTGCTGGCCCCTGTCTCCTCCTCTCCTGGGCCAGGACCTCCGCTTCCAGGCTCTCCTCCCCCAGCAGACTTCAGCTTCGGAGGGCTGGAGGGTTCAGAGCAGTCTGGCTGGGGGGAGGTCCCAGCTGGCACTTGGAGGGAATCTGTTCTGTGACTCAGGACCTGCCCTGTCCCATAACTGGAGTCACTTATTTCAGCAGGAAGCCAGCTGTTAAACTCCAAAGCAAACCCAGAGCCCCAGGGGAAGGAAGAGCGGGACAGTTTAAGCTGAGAATGAGGAAAGTGAAGCCCTAGCTGAGCCAGCCTGCAGGTATCAGCCTCGGATCTCATCATAGGAAAGAACGTTAGAGGGATTCAGGTTCAACCTGCAACTGAACCAAGAATTACAAGTCAACCAATCTCTTGAAGACCTTCAGGGATGGGGAGCTCACTGTCTTGAAGCAGCCCATTCCAACTTTGGACACTTCTAATTGTTAGGATGGGCAGATAGGCAGTGCAGTGGTTAGAACTCCTCTGGGCTTGGCATCAGGAAGACTCATCTTCCTGAAGTCAAATCCAGCCTCAGACACTTTCTAGCTGTGTGACCCTAAGTCACTTAACCCTTTTGCCTCAGTTTCCTCATCTGTAAAATGACCTGGAGAAGGAAATGGCAAACCACTACAGTATCTTTGCCAAGAAAACCCCAGATGGGGTCACTGAGAGTCAGCTGAACAATCGTTAGGACGTTTTCCTAATGCCCAGTCCACACCTGCCTCTTGACACTGTCCACTGCCCCACTGATCCCAGTTCTGCTTTTTAAGCTAAGCAGACCACATGACAGCCCTTCGAGATTTTTTAATACAGTACTCCCTTGTACCCCAAGTCCTCTTTCTTGGGTTAAATAGCCCCGGTTTCAACTGGTCTTCAGAGGACATGGCCTTCAGTCCCTTCCTCATCCTGCTTGCCCGGCTCTGAATGGGCTCTGAATTAATAATGTCCTTCCTAAAATGTGAGTTCAGAGTCACATACGACGTAATAATGGTTCTCATTTACATGGCACTTTAAGGTTTGCAAAGCACCTTCCATATATTATCTCATTTCCCCCTCACATTGCTACTGTGAGGTAGGTGTTATACCCATCTTACAGATGAGGAAACAGAGGCAAACAAGTTAAGTGGTTTGTTACACAGCTGAGTAAGTGGCTGTGGCTGGGTCTGAATTCACGATTTCCTGATTCCAAGGCCAATGGACTGTATTGACCCAAAAGACCTTCTGGCCAGGGAACAGGGGACAGGTCAGAGAGTGGAATGGTTTCAACGCCTTAGTAAGAACTATATAGGAAGAAATCACCCTCACATCTATCTCCAATCTCCAAAGAAGTCCAGACCCAAGCAACCACCCCACCATCACCCACTGTGATATAGTGACATTATCGATGCTGGGGAGTCTCCTCTCCTCTGCCCCCACAATTCTTTCTTTGTTCTCATTGAATTTGTTCATGCTAAACTTGAATGTGATAAAATCTGGGCAGTGTGGTGGAAAGGAAAGGGGCCAGAACAGAAGATCTGGGTTTGACTTTATAATTTTGCTCTGCTGTCCCCTTGGTCAAATTGCTACCCCAGTCTGGAACTTGGGAGGTTTAGATCAGATGATCCCAAGTTCTCTTTTAAAGGACATAGAGTTCTTTAAATTCAGCTTTTTTGTTTTAAATTTTTATGGCTTTTTAAAAAGCCACATCCTCATTTTTTACAACATCATAATTTTCAAGTACATCCCTCTCCTGTCCTCGATCCAGAGGAAGCCCATGCTTTTTCTTGTTTTGTTTTGTTTTGTTATTTTTTTTCCAAGCTATTTCTGGTAACAAAGAAAGGGGAAGAGGAGAAACCCAAAGTCCCCCACTTCTTCCAAGAAAGGTCAGCCTTTTACAGCCACATGTAGCTGCTGATTCGATCAGGTTTCACAGCACCTGAAGGGCAACAACAAACAGAAGTCCAGGAGAGACGAGAGAGAATAATTTTTATTTTACTCTGGTTGATGTCAGTGGAGAAGCAGCATTGTACAGCAAGATGAGCACTGGTTATGGAGTTGGAGGTGCTGGGTTCAAATCCTGCTTCTGTGACCTTCAGTGACTACCTTTATCTGTCTGGGCCTCAGTTTCCTTATCTGTAAAACAAGATGGCCCCTACAGCCACTTCTGGTCTTATGAATACTGGACAAGGAAATCCCATAATAGGAAGGCAGCATAAATGGCCAAGCTTGGTGAAAAATGAGCCAATTTGGAAATGACTTTGAGGTGCAAAGCCCTCACCCTAGGGTTTTCTTGGCTAGAGTCTCTCCCCCCTCCCTTTAGGGGACTGTGGTCTCCCTTGAGTGCAGTGGAGTAGGAGCTGGGTGCTTGGTCAGGATTCACCAGAAGATCAGCAAAGTTTGCCTCTGAAGGAAGGAGCAACATCCCTCCCTACAGTCAGCCAAGACGCAAGAGGCAGAGTCCAGATGGCACATATTACCCTTTCATCTTTTTCCTTTCTTTCTTTCAAAGTGCATACAAAAGGGGTAGCTAGGTGGCGCAGTGGATAGAGCTCGGGTCTTGAGTCA